CACATACATACATATATATATACACATACTTTGTGAGGCCATCATGACAATTAAGATTAGGAACATATCCAGACAATTAGAATAATAACTCCCTAAAGTTTACTTTTGCCCCTTTGGAATCCCTTACTTCCATCCCTACTTGCACCTACTCTCTTCCCTGGTCTGTCACTGACCTGCTGTCACTCTAGAGTAGTTTGCATTTTGTGTGTGTGTGTGTGTGTATTTATACAATATTTATTTTTGTGTGATTTCTTTTATTCAGCCTTATTCTTTTGAAATTCATCAATATTGTTGTCAAGTATGTCAGTAGCACATAGCTTTTATTGCTGAGTAGTAGTCCATTGTATGAATATGCTACAACTTGATTACCCATTCACCTGTTGATGGACATGTGGGGTTTCAGCTTCAGCTATTGCAAATAAAGTGCCTATGAGGTATACCTGTATAGCACGGTTTCTTCTCTTTTAGATAAATACCTAGGAATGGAATGGCTGAAATCATGTGGCAGTTGTTTGCTTAACTTTTTAAAGAAACTGCCATACTGTTTTTTACCATTTTACATTGTCATTGAAACATGCGGTTTGGGGTGCAGACTTCTTCTCGTGGGTCCTTGTCCAACAAAGTTGAAGAATAAATTCGAGAACTAACTAACAGATTTAAAAAATAAAAATGTATAAGTTTATTGGAAGCATATACAAACTCCATCTGGGCAGGGGTGTCCCCAAAGGGGATGCCCTGAAAAAGGGCCCCCAAATGGGAAAAGCCTGCTCTCTCTCTCTAGTGGGAAAAATCTAAATCTAAAAAATCTGTAAATCTCTTTGTCTCTGGCTTTATAAAGGCTGTAGTTCTTTGTCTGAACCTGACCCTTTCTAATTGGACCCTTCCTCAATTTAGGACCCCTGTGCTTTCCTCATTGGTCATTTTGTTACATAGTATTAGTTTCAAAGTCTTGGAGCTATTTCTGCTCTTCACATATCCATCTTATCTGTTCAGATTGGAGTTGCTTTTAATCTCCCTTATGGCTCTCCCAGCTGCTCAGGTCAGGGCTGCTTTTAATTGCTCAGGCCAGAAATGCCTCTATCCTCCCTGGACCCCCTCTTCCTGTCTTCTGCCTAATTAAGCTAGCTAGCCCTTAATCATCATCAGCAGCAGTGTATGGAGAGTACCATTTTCTCTACAAATGCACCAACCCCACTTCTTGTTGCCAGTCTTCTTAATTTCAGCCACTATAAGAACTATGTAGTGGTTATAATTCGTATTTCCCTGATATCTAATAACATTGAGCTTCTTTTCATGTGCTTTTTTATCACTGTATAATCTCTTTGATGAAGTGTCTGCTCAAATCTTTTACCTATTTTTAAATTGTTTGTTTCCTTATTCAGGTGTGAAAATTCTTTGTATTCTGGATAAAAGTATTTTATCAGATTTTTTCCCCAGCTTTGAATTGTCTTTTAATTTTCCTAACATTTTCTTTGAAGGAGGAGGAATTCTTACTTTTAATTCCATATAATCAAACTTTTCTTTTATGGTTCATACTTTTGGTGTTGTATCTAAAAATCTTTATCTAACCCAAGGTCACAAAGATTTTCTTTTATGATTTCTTTTAGCAGATTTATAATTTTATGATTTATATTTTGGTCTATGATCAGTGATTCCCAAAGTGGGCGCTACCGCCCCCCGGTGGGGCGCTGCAGCGATCCAGGGGGGCGGTGATGGCCACAGGTGCATTTAGGGGCGATGAGTAACTGCTATTAAAATTTAAAAAAAAAATTAATTTCCAGGGGCTGAGTAATATTTTTTCTGGAAAGGGGGCGGTAGGCCAAATAAGTTTGGGAACCACTGGTCTATGATCCTTCTTTAGTTAACTTTGTAAATATGGTTTGAGATATGGATTGAAGTTTATTTTTTTGCACATGGATATCCTATCGTTCCAGCACCATTTGTTGAAAAAGACTGCTCTGTCTTACCATTGAATTGCCTTTGTAGTTTTTCCAAAACTCAGTTGACTTGTATGTGTGGATCTATTTTTGGACTCTTATTTTGTTCCTGTGATCTATTTGTGTTATTGCTAGTACCACAATGGTTTTTTAAATTTATTGTGACTTGATAGTAAAT